GGTTTCGCTTCGAAGACGACGCAAATTTTGGTGATTTCACGTTGTTGTTTTGTAAAAGACGGCTAAGAAATGTACAAAGTTTTAAAACGCACGGGCTTGGCTATTGTTCTGCCAATCAAATCTATTGTTTTTCCACGTTCTCGTTGCCGTAGCCGTCGTGGTTTGCTTAAAGTCCCTATTGTTTCACAAAGTCTTGTAAATTTCTGCAGCGGAGGAAACTTACTTGACTAGAAATAAACAGAGCTGGAAAGAAAGAATTTCTTTCGCTCTTTGTTCAGGAATTAAAAACATGCGTAGGGGTTTTCTATTTACTAATTAAACAATATGAATAACAGAATTGTTTTCTTTTCAGTATTCTATGTAATTTTCTCTCTATAATTACTTTGTATATTTAAAGAATTTTGACTCCTAAAAGAAAATATCACACCCTCTGTGACATGTAATTTGGAGCGTTCATCATTTTTTTTAGTATGAATAATTGAAACAGTTCCATTTAAGTAGTATGAAATTTATGTTGTTAAAACAGAGGACAATAGGCTGTGCCTCTCAACTTTTAGCGACGTTGAGTTTAAACGATTTCAGTTGCTTGTGAAAAGCTTTATCAGATGTAAAAATCACCGTCCCTAGACAATTTCTTTTAACCTTGTGGTGAAGGTTTATATGATTTGATTTTTCTCTTGTTCTCCGTAGAAGTTTCTCATGCCGTAAGTTTTGCTTTTCTTTTATTGGGTAAATCATTTATAAACACAAGTCTATGCAAGCTCTACATTAGAGACCAAAGACATAATCTGCAGAGTCTGATGATTATTAATAAAAAGATCTATTTTTTTCTTCTACATCTCTGCAATTTTTATTTAACCCATCGGTTATAACTGATGTACTTGTTGCTTTGTAAAAACAAACTCCTTTGAAACGTAGAAAATCTCGCCTGAAACGTTGTTGACAAAATTTCCCACAATTTTCCTTATGACCAATTTCTAATAAATATAATTTGGCTACGAATTTTCATATAAAATCTCCTAAATGCTCCGAACATCTTGTTTCACAACCTTAAAAAAGGTGTTCTCTTTTACGCCAAAATCAAACTTTGTCGGGCTGAGGGTCTTGGAAAGGTGAATTTAATTCATAGCCCTAGTTTACGGTTTAAAAGAGTTTCCTCGTTTAAAAAGCGTTTGATCAATACTTCAAAATTCTTGAAATTAAAATGCAGGTCACTCTAATCAATTATTGCTCATTGAAATACCGCAGTCGTATTAGTTATTTAAGACATGAGTCTGCCCAAACAGACTTATATCGAAATCAAAAGGAGACTTGTCCAGTCGTATTCCTTTTTGTTATCAAAAACTTTGGTTCTAGTTCACCAATATTGTTATCATTCGTCCAAGAAGGTTCTTTTCTTAGTAACGTATGGTTAGGGTTGTTCCAAGGAAAATCGCTGAAGTTGGCGAAAAGTCCGGAATAAAACCGTAACATTTCATCTTCGTTTATCAAGTTCTGTCCTTTGAGTCTAAACATTTTCATTCGCGATTAATGACGTAAGAAATATCAACAGGAGATGATGATTACAATTTGTCTTGAAACGTCTTAAATGGCTGATGAAATACAACATAAAAGTTTTAAAACGGACCCCTTCAAATATGGTGTGTACAAACTAAACCAAGCTAAGTTCACCGTTGTTCACTCAGAGACGTGCTTTGAAAAAAGTCTTCTTTTCCACATCCTTATGATTTCAGTTTGCGATTCAATCGAGAATAAGTCGACAATTTCCCTCACCTAACAGCTCGTATAGACCAAATGTAAAGTCAAATGACCGAACTGAAACTATAATAGTAAACGAATCTGAACCGAGGTAATGGAAAGTTTGTGAATATAAATCAGCACAATTAAGCTGTCCTCCACTATAGATACAAAGAAAGGAAAGCTTACCAATTGGTCTGCGAATGTCAAGCCACCAAACATGAGAAAAAGAAAAGAAGAGAAAGTACTGGGAAGTGACAGCGCTTCATTTCTAGACACAGATCAGAAGCAAAGTCCTTAATCTTTCTTCTTAGACTAGTTTACGTTGTTAAAGACTTCACAATGACAAACGACACGATGCTTTAACCGTCCGTCAGTTTACTCTCTCTTGCAATTTAGTTTTTATTGACTAAAACGGCCATTTTTTTTGTGTCATCCTTGTTAATAATTAATCATAAGGCTGTGAGACATAAAGGATGTCCATCTTATAAAAGTTCTCCCCTGAAGCTGTTTACATAGCTGGAGCTGTCTACATAGCTGGAGCTGTCTACATAGCTAGAGCTGTCTACATAGCTGGAGCTGTCTGCATAGCTGGAGCTGTCTGCATAGCTGGAGCTGTCTGCATAGCTGGAGCTGTCTGCATAGCTGGAGCTGTCTGCATAGCTGGAGCTGTCTGCATAGCTGGAGCTGTCTGCATAGCTGGAGCTGTCTGCATAGCTGGAGCTGTCTGCATAGCTGGAGCTGTCTGCATAGCTGGAGCTGTCTGCATAGCTGGAGCTGTCTGCATAGCTGGAGCTGTCTGCATAGCTGGAGCTGTCTGCATAGCTGGAGCTGTCTGCATAGCTGGAGCTGTTTGGAGGTGGAAGGTGAAGGTAAGAGTTACATCTTAAATAACACAACAACGCGTGGAGCAGTCTGAGGTATCCGTCCAATCTAGCTGAAGCTATAAACATTGCATTTTTAGCGAGGCAATTTTGTCGAGTCACAACCCTTTCCGAAATCATTGTGTTACGTCTTGGACCGACTTGAAAGGCGTAATAATGAGGGTAAATTACTTAAACCCTTCTTCCAGAAGAGGTTCGGGTTTTTGTATCACTTTAATAAGAGAAGACGCTAGAATTAAGGGCACAGCATCGAAAACACTACTCTAGTTATTGCTTCTCTCTATCTTAGGAGTGTTTACTGCAGCTCATCATATGAAAACAGAATGGGTGGTTGTAAAAGGTATCAAATGCTATGCCAGCGAGAATCAGTCGTCAAGCTATGAGTGGGATGTATTCGCAAGTGTAATGGCAGCCTCTGTTGTGTCCAACATTTTGAGGAATCCAAGCGTATTCCAACATTGGAGCCATTATAACGAAGGTAACTTTCCTCTAAAGGCTGATAGTTTCGAAAGAAACTGTTTGGGGCTGCGTCGGTGGGAGTAACGAATTAATTTGGATATATCAACAAAGTTGAAGTGGTAAATTGGCCACCATAACGATTACAAAAGCTGACGTTTTGTTGTTCACACCCAAATTAGGAACGTGACATGTGCTAACAAGGTCTAGTATAAGATAAGTTCCTATTATGTATTTGGTAGTTTTATCCTGATGAAGTCTCACTAGTAGATGAAACCATTCGATTAATAAACTCAGGGAGTACACAGCAACTTTTCTGGTTCTCTACAGTCAAGCGCTTTCTCCATTTTATTCATTTCTTTTCTTTACATACAAGGTACTGTAACTAATTATTCTGCATTTTGAATCTGTCAACACTTTTCAGGCTCGAAAAAAAAAATAATTTCACTCACCAGCAGGCTGCACGCAGAACAAAATTTATATTGCACGGGCCATGCGCTATAGGAGAGGAGAATTTTTTATAAGGGAACTAGTGGGCAGCACACAGCAACTTGTCTTGTAGAATTGAGTTTGTTAATCGACCGGTTTCGTCTACAGGTCAGACTTCGTCAGGATAAAACTTATTGTTCTTGGTAGAGGAACAGGCTTCTTTGTTCTTGGCCTAGGCACTAGTTTATAATCATCTCGAAACTCTAGCGGTGGTTCAATTATGTTTTTTCCGTAAGCTTGAACCATCTGTTTAACATTATTGAACGATGGAGCGAATTTGATTTTCCTGTCCAATGTTTTGGGTTAATTTTTTGCACAGGTCTCAAATTCATTATTATCTCAATGAGTTGGTCTTTTGTCAGATTCTGTAATTTCGTTGTATTCATATCTATATTATTTGTAGATATATTTTTCTCCATATTTTCTATGTGACTTTTCTTTAACTGTTTTTTAGCATGCAGTGCCGGCGTATTTTGGGCGCTCGAGTGCACATTTTCGTATTAGGCCGCCATCTTAGATTTGGTAACAGTGGAGGATTGGGGCGAGGAAATATTTGCCAAGGGAGTAGGTGTTAAATGGAAAAATGGGCAATGGGGGAGAGGGAGGGGAAGGAAAAAATATGCCTGCCCGCAAAGCCTTTCATTTCGCAAAACGGCCCCTAATGAGTAGCGCTTGACCGCCTTTCCGGAAATGTGCAAGCAGCCAATGAACATCGATTTTTGCTTTAACTGGATGGAAGCCAAAAATTTACTTCGGACAAAAACATTGACACACGTGTATTTGCCAACTTCATGCGAAACAGAATCGATCGAGCGAGCGAGTATGTGAGTGAAGTTATGTCGGAAAGACGTCCTAAATACAGCTGTAGGATTTGCAAAAGCTCTTTTAAAGTGAAATTTAGAAATATTCCCGGCAAACAAGTGTACTCGTCCTTGGAAAACCTTTTTAGACCATCGCAGAGGAAGGACTGGCTTGGAGTTGTTTTAGCAGAGGTTTGTAGTCGTGTCGGATTAGTATTGTTGCACGATCCTGCAACATATGCTGATCGCGTTTGCAACCCGTGTGGTCGAAAAATTCGCAGTCTTGGCCAGTTGTTCGAGTTTGTCAAAGTGGGCACGACTCCAACGGTATACTCAGTATCTAAAAGCACGAAATGCACCCTGGAAACTCCGGAGAAAGCAAGCCCTTCATGGAGAAAATCAAAACTATTCGCCGTTTTCAACATCTTGTAAACTAGCACCAGCAAGGGATGTCGCTGTCAATCCATTAAAGATGCTTCCGCCAGCTGATCTTGCACGATGCTTTTGAGCGGACAGACAACAGTCACACACGCAGCTTTCAACCATAATATTTGCTTCACGCGGATCAAGAACTGGAAGATGAGGCTTTTACCAAAGCCGTCAGAAGAACTGCTAGTAAATCCCTTCCATGAACAAGAGAAGAAATGGCTTCCTTTTGTTCCGGACGTAATAAAAGCGACATACCCAGCTCAGAGAGAAATAAAAGCAGTTCTGCGAGAGCAGCATCATAGCTTAGCGTATCGGCCATTTTCTCTCCAAATCACTTCCGCTCGTAATCGCGGAACGACTGGAAAAAAACTACTTTAGATGACAGGCATCAATCCAGTTTCAACCTACCGCAACAATCAGATGCCCCGTCCATCTGGTGTACGGGTTTTGCGAAATCACAGGCTTTGTGGGCAGGCGTATTTTTTCCTTCCCCTCCCTCTCCCCTGTTGCCCATTTTTCCACTTAACACCTACTCCCTTGGCAAATATTTCCTCGCCCCAATCCTCCACTGTTACCAAATCTAAGATGGCGGCCTAATACGAAAATGTGCACTCGTGCGCCCAAAATACAACGGCACTGCAGGCTAAGTGTTTTTCGATGTTGTGATTTGGTATTCTACATACTCATACTTTATACACGTGATTTTTCTTTAAGTGTTTTTCTTTTGAGGATTCTCCATATTTGAAAAACAAGTTTGAACAAGATTTATGAATCCGCCATTTTGAATTCTTGGAATTTTTGTGAGTCTGCATGTTTGGATTTCGACTTTGTTTATAGTAGTTTCACCGAAAAGATTTCTTTTTATGAGTAGGTGTCATCCCAACGATCATACCACAAAATTGATTTCAAGCCTTCACGGGGCTTTTTCACTTTTAAGTCAAAGTATATAGTTTACAGGGCTCCCACCCAAGATAGCATGTTATAGCCAAGATTTTTAAATGCCTCTTTTGGCAGACCTGGTAGCTACGTGTAAGTTTGACTTATTTTACAGATTTAGTTACAGGTGGGATCCCCTGGTATGTTCTCGTTGGAGGACCTTCAGTATTCAAAGCATACCAAAGAGGATTAGAATTTGGTAAGACCTATGACAAGCGAACAAAGATTTTATTGATTGGTCAGGATCGTGTTGGTAAAACAAGTCTTCGAAAACATCTCCAAGGTGTAAAATTCGATCGAGATGAAACAAGCACCAGTGGAGTGGAAATGATGCCAGCTGTTAAGAATGCAGCAAAGCAAGCATGGAAAAATCCTGCTTCTTTTGAATCCACTAGTGCATTTCATCACAAATGTGCAGAGCTGATCAACAAGGAGTTATCAAGAAGCTCTCCAGAAAAATCACATTCTGCTCGACAGCTCAGAGGTGAAGATGACTTCCCAAACAAAGAGTCAGGAACAGAAGAACCAAGGGGTGATGGGCTCACACCTATAGTTGACACTGAAAGTAAGTAGAGATTACAACAAGCTGATGGGAGGGCCGGATGGAGAACTCTATGGCCAAAGTTAATTAATGACGTCATAACGAAGCACAGCAATCAGAGTTAATCTGGTCTGTTTTTCATGAATGAGAGCTGCGTGAGAACATTTTCCCGTTCAGCCCTCCCAGGGAGCCATTATTGATGGAAGAGCCAAAGAGGCGAAAGAAAAACGATATATTCCCGTTCGATAATTGTGGATAAGATCGGGACCACAGCCTGTAGAGATGCAAGCACTTACGAATATGGGCAGCTGATCATGACATCATGGGGAAAACGTTTCCTTGCATAATCAACAGCAAGTCTAATTAAACAGAGTTCCAAAATCAAACAACAGTTAAAAAAAAAAACAAAACAGCTAACAATCAAACTGTCCAGTAAGATAACTGTTGATGCTTGTTTGCAGGCACCAAGGATATGAAAAAGCGCCAAGGACATGAACACAAAGCAGAACCAATGCCAAGGAAAGTTTCCTCTTTAGCGAATTCAGGGAGCACTACACCAATTCAAAGTAAGGTGACAATAAAATGAATAAGGGTGATAGATAACTTTCCCCCTTATTCCTACAGCTATCTGAGTTGCATAAGTGGGCACAAGTTTTAAAAGTCAGTGTCACTGAATCATATTAGGATACTTAACTGATCTCCAATTTTTCGCTTGACTGCGATGATTAATTTCACTGAGGTCATCGACAAGATCGTACATGTAATGCAAAATTATGAAGGTTCTCGGAGAAAAAAACTCTTGGTTTAGATAAAGGGGGTAAGTTTCTTAAGAGCCATGCACTGACCGTAAATATCGAGAATCCGCCGACAGTTGCAAAATTTCGTAATTTATTTTCTCTAAAGGACCCTTTTAATGTACCTTTTTTGAAAATTATATAAGACGTTCTATCGCGCTTCTTTTTTCTCCGAAAAATCGGAAAGTTCAAAATAAGCCTAAATGGCCGTTGTCCCCCACGTAAAGCAATGAAAAATTATGCAACTTCGGCCACAGGCAGCCCAAGCTCTCTTTGAGAACCACACAAGGAACACAATTTGCATATCGACTTATAAGAATTTGTATGAAATTTTCTACAAGATAGCCATAGAGATTGTTAAAAGTGAAAATATTGAATAAAAATGGCTTACCTTATTCCATACGTGTATTGCTTGCTCCTGGTGTCGTTATTTTACCGACTTCACTTGATTTAATCGGTTTTTTTTTAATCCTGGTTTTCTCTTCTTAAAGAAATTAAAAATTAAAAGAAAAAAAATTATAGAAATTAAAAATTGCCGAATAGATAGATTTTCTGGGCGCAAACCGCCTCCGTGTGGACAGCGGTCGAAATCGTAGTGTGCAGTCTTGACTTCGTCTGATAACAGGAAAAACAGTAATGGCAAAGGAAGCTCAAAACGGCAGAAATCGCCAAAAATCACGGCGAATACACAAGGAATGAGTAAGGTTTACTGATCTAACGTGTAAAATATTCACATTTCGGAATATCTAGTGTTTTAACTGGACCATATTTTATTTATTACACTATTCCTTATAACGCATTCAAATTCTCAACGGTTGCTCGCGTAACTTAACACCGCGTCACACAACGCTTTGAAGAAATAATCCTTCGCTTTTGCTCGAGACGTGAACTTGGGACGCCTGTGGAACTCTTTGAAGGCTGGACGCGCTGCCCATTGCGGGCCAAGAAAGAAACTTGGAGGAATTAAACTACAAAAGGATAACACTTTAAGATGACATATATTTTGGACTGTAAATATATCATACAAGACCTTTTTAAAGGCCTTTAAATGGGTCGCGACAGCTATTCAGCGGCTCGCTTTGCAATTTTGACAAAATAGCCCAAACTCTTTTTTCAACCTGGATGTGCCGCTTATGGCGGGCAAAAATAGAGACTTGGAGGAATGAAAATACAAGGATAAAGCTTTAAGAGGATGTACATTATGATTTTTAAGTATATAAGGCAGACCTGTTTATAGCCCACTAAATTTGACCTTTATTTTACCACCGCGAAAGAGACGCGAAGTACTTTATTTCAACGGGTCACTATTCAGACTCAAACGTAACAACATAACAAGAAATTAATAATTTCTAAGAGATAAAAGGACCATCTATTAGCACACAAAATTTAAAAGCGGGATTACATCGCGTTGTAGCATACGAAGTTGCCGAAGTTGAATAATTTTTCATGGCTTTACTGGGGGGACAATGGCCATTTAGGCGTATTTTGAACTTTTCGATTTTTCGGAGATAAAAAGCGCGATATAACTTGTTGATATGATTTTCGAAAAAGGTTCATTAAAAGGGTCCTTTAGAAAAAATTAAATGAATTACGAAATTTTGCAACTGTCGGCAGATTCTCGATATTTACGGTCAGAGGCTATTATGAAACTGTGGTGCGGTGTCATTGGGGTAACAAGGTAATTTTGTCATATCAACTAAGTTGAAATTGTAAATTGGCCACCATAAAGAGTTAAAAAGCTGACATTTCGGGCTAACGCTCGAAACGTCAGCTTTCTAACGCTTTACGGTGGCCAATTTACATTTTCAACTTAGCTGATATAACCAATTTATCTTAGTTGAAATAGTTGCCAACGAGAATGTTAAGTGCTTTGCCATGCACTGCAATAGTTTGTTCAATACAGCATCACACCATCGTGATGACCTACACATTTATGACAAATGACCGGTGATGAGATAGTTTCGTGTAGATCAGCTGACTTTAAGATCTTTCAAATGACATACAAGTATAAGTGTTTCTTCAGAGGATTTCAGATTGCTCTAATTCCCGTGAAAGATGGTGCAGCACTCAGAATCTTGATGGTATGCACACGATATGAACACGATATGTTTTTAGTTACGTCGGGTAGCCCTCCATGAAGGCTGACCAATTTCTTTAAAGAGTCGACAACCAGAGGTGAGATTTCTCTTCGGCACATTGCTCATAAGATAAAATTCTTTCCAAGCCTTGCACGTTTCATTTGTCTGAGACGTTTGTTGTTGGGGACATTAGATGTAAACATTGCCAAATTATGCAATATTTGTTTTTTGAGCTTCATTCGCGATCTGCCCCAATGAAAAGTAGAGGCCGGCCCGCAGAGATTTTTACATATTTAAAAACTAGAATATTATGACTACCTAGATGCGTAGTTTCAATTCCAGAATCGGCGTACTTTTGGAGAAATTGAGATAAACGTTTTCCCTGTTTTACCCTACATGAAAAATGACTGAAACTGTGCCGTGATAAATAATATTTTGGTGTGTTTACATTCTCTCCCAGGGAAAACTGAATGCATCAAAGGGAAGACAAATTATATTGCTACATCTGGTAGAAGATATAGCAATCCAATCTGCCATGTTTTATTTAGCTTGAGATAGAGAAATAAACATTGTACTCTTTTTTCTTTAGATATTTTTGCATGAAAACGAGGTCCCTTCAAACAAGCAGCTGTTGTTACCATAGCAACAAGAGTGCTGCAGCCTTTAATAAGAGCATTTTTGTGCATCCCCCCTGAGTGCCTAACTGAATGCAAGATTTGAAGAGGGTTTGAAAATTTCTATTTCCCAAGAAAAAAGTTCAACTTAACTTTTCGATGTCACTCTGACCTCATTTTCAAGTCATGAAACAAACTATAATTATCGTGGCTATTACATGTAGAGCATACACGTAGCATTTTGAAAAAAGGCAATGTACAGTACTTGAACAATGGGCAACTACATATTTCAGCAACTTTCCTAACAAAGTGCGACAGAAAATGGGCTTGTTATCAGTAAAATATTGTTTATTAAAAAAGAAACCTAAACTAGCATTGCCACACTTTCACTGTACATCACCAACATTCAGACATGTAAAGTACAACAAATATACAGTCATGTATACATATCTTATTAACCAAGCGCGAGGGCCGTACTGGGAGAATACGGCCCGAGGTCTTGACAGTACAGACCGAGCGCAGTGAGGTCCCTACAAAAAAGACCTCGGGCCGATATTCTTCCAGTGCGGTCCCGAGCAAGCTTGGCTAATAAGAGATTTATTACACGACTGAAAATCAAAGGGACACAAGCGCGGTATCATTCGGGACCATTCAGGACAGTGCCCGGTCCAATACTGAGAGAATATTGACCGGACAATAGAGCATTTTGATTGGTTGATTTTAGTTATTGGCCCTCTGACTTCCCGAGTCGTGTAATAAACAGTAATATTATAATTCTTAAATATTTTAGTAGCTTATCGTTTATCGTGTAAAACATGCAAAGAAAATCTTGATTTTTTTAACATTCGTTGATGGTGTTTTGGTGACGCCAAACAGTTGTGTCGCATTTCTTTTACTGATACTTATCATTAATTTTAAAAAAAATCAAATTTAATCTTAACACCTTCTTCTCTATTAGAGAGTCATGTACATATAATTGTGAGGTAGAGATTGCTTGAAGAAGAACTTGCAAGTTGTCATTTTTTTTTGTAGCTGTCGAGGGTGACACAAGAAAACAGAACCAGGAGCA